GAGGCCACCGCACCTCCCCAAAGTGCTATAATAGAGTACTGAATTTGTAACATGCATCCCAGGACACACTGGCATCACCTTTATGAACAAATCACAAACTTAACTTAACTTGTTTTTCCAATTGAAGTGTGATGGCATATCAACACAAGTGGTGTATTGATTATTAAGTTGCTCTCTGTACATTAGAAAGCTTATTTGCATTAGGATACTATATGTATTGCAGGACATTGTGTCAAAAACTGAGATAGATCACACAAAGTAATTGACAAATTGAACAATCTGTTTATTTTTTATTTTCTTTTATCTTAAAATAAACATCCCAAGTTTAGTTAATTAATTAATTGCTGGATATTCCCAGCGATCCCATAATACCGCCTCTTAACCTGCCATTATATTTGATTGCTTGGCTGGGGAAGACGTCGAAGACAGTGAGAAATATGATGTTTCAAGGCTGAGTGCTGTAAGGTTTGCATTGTTTCATTCCCTCTGATGTTGAGAATCGTGTTAGTGACTTTTTAGTGTACCCCTATTTAGAGGGATATAAGAGACCCTGAGAGATATAATTTTATGCCAGCTTATTCGTTTGACTCTCACTTATGTTTTGGTAATGTTTTTAAAAATCTGACCACCGGTAGGCCATAGGGTAGGCCATGGTCTACACCATGGGGCTTTCCCCCTAAATTGTTATGAACTGCAGAATATGCATCCCCTGGGCTTTCAAATAGCATATCAAACATCTGTGGAAATATACTGTCCAGAGGAAGAAAAATTAGCTGTTTAGTTGGGACAGTTGGTGAATTGCAAAGATCATGTAGCAGCCCCACAGGTCCAGAAACACAGCATGTGTTACAGGTCATTTAAAATATTGTGACCTCAAAATGATTTCGTGTGGACAAATCTCCTTGCCTTGTTAGTCAAAAAATATTACATTAAGGTTATTAAAATCCCTCTAAAATGAAAATTCAGTCACAGGACTGTCACTGTCCCTTAATAATAATCAAAAAATGGCCATCATTCTTTTATTAACACATACCTGTATAGATAAATTTTCTAAATTGCAACACATTTCACCAAGTTGATGTAAGAACTTGACAGAGAAATAAACATAACCAAAGAAATAAAACGGTGCTGGCATATTTCTTGGAATGATTGATGCTCTGTCAGTTTATATTACTAATTTTCACTGAATCTTTATTTTCCATCAGTGATCACATGTGATACACATAGCTGTCATTAAAGCACTTGACTGACTTTGAGTCATTTTGGTGTTTACAAGCGTATTCCTCTGCCTTTAGAACAGCTGCCTTGTGAATACATTTCTTTCTGATTCTGAATGAATTTTAACATCTTATTTACTTATTTCATTTCAGGTTCTACCCTCAGATGGAAAATACCAGAATGGCTGCTGTGAAGTTTGACTGAAAAAGCTCATGATATCATTTGCTCAGGTGTGAAACATTATCTTTGTTAAATATATATACTTCTACAGTGTTTAACGTCTGTTCAGTTTTGTTCCCAGACTTTTGCTTGCCTAACTCTTGAGGCCTACTCCATTCCAAGGAGTGTTTACAATTAGTCTTCATCAGTGGCAGACCCAGACCTTGAGCTAAGGGGGGGGGGGGGG